ACAAACTTGACAAAAAACCATCGTGTTTCATGTTTTAAAACGCACGCAAAATGGCGAGCAAAGAATTACACCCAGGCGCTAATGCCCAGTGCCCACCCAGGCTAATGCGCGCGCACACGTTTGAACTTTCTACGGAAGTGTTCCATTTCTACGGAAGCATTGAAGTTCTACGGAAGAGCTACATTTCTACGGAACAGCGACGGCTTATACCACGGAAGAGCTAGATTTCTACGGAACAAGCTCGCGACTGTTTCCACAGAACAGCTATTTTTCTAAGGAACGATCGCAGATTTACAAGGAACGATTGCAGAATTCTAAGGAAAGATGTTCAATTCTAAAAATAACAGTTGTATTTTTACAGAACGACACTACATTTTCAAGTAGAAGCGTTGTCCCTTGTGGGCCACCGTACTACGGTGGGGGGGTTTAGTATATGTTTCAGGGTTGTTTAAAGTTTACAGCACAGTCACCCAGACTGTGGGCTAATTTCTTAAGGGAAAAAATGCATGCAGTGATAGTTAATGACTGTGGAAAATAAAAAAACTAATGGTGACTTGGAATCCACAGTCTCTTCTACGCTTGCACAAGCATTAACAAATTTTCATTTTTTTTGCAAGGATAAGACTATTTGTGGGTAATTCACAGCATAAAACTATCTTTTCAAGGTGATGGTTCTTCAACTAGCACACCATGTTCAAACATGTCTCCACAAACACAACAAACCACAGCTGTCATTTTATGAAAAGATGATGGCAAACAAGCAGAAAGAAGAAGAAAGAAAGCTGGCTGCCAAGAGGGAAAAGCAGCAGATGGAAATTAGAGCAAACAAGGAAAGAGAAGAAAATGAGGTGTCTAGATAAAAATGTGGAATGATTTACTGACTGAAAGATATGACATCCTTTGCCTTTTATTATTTATCTTTAAACCCAACAATAGGGCCATTTAAACTAGGAAAAAATAAGACGCGTCTTAAATAAGACACAAACTGTACCATTTATACAAGCATGTCTTATCTAATAAGACGCGTCTTAGCTAAGCTGCATCTTATTTTAGACGAAATGTGCTGTTTATACGGAAAGTTCGCGTCTTATGTAAGACGCGTCTTATTTTTCCTCGTATAAATGGCCCTATTGTTCCTCACCTTCATGGACACACTGCCTAAACAACAGTTACTATTATGTCAGTTTTTATGGCATTTTTATTGATCAAAGAAGCAACTGTAAAAATGTTACAGGATTTATAGTTCATGAGTAATCAAAGTTTGTTTCTCATTTCATTAGATGTTTGGAAAATTAATATGATAACAGCTAAATTAACTTTTTTACATTTATTTTTTACTAGAAAAGGGAAATAGAAGAGGAATTGCAGAGAAGAGAAGAAGCCATGAGAGAAAGCAAAAGAAGGAGAACAGTAGTGATTACAGTGAGGCATTCTCGGTTTACTACATCTTAAATAATTATTTTGATGTGTATTCTGACTGTGTCTACTGTTATTTATGTCAGTCGATCAGTTCACATCCATACCAAACTAGAGGGTCTACATATGTACCTAGTTGGGTACAGTTATACATGTATGTTTTTTTACTTAAAACTTTTTATCTTTAAGTTCGTCCTCTTTTAACTAGTAATTTATCTTCTGTTTACCTGAAAACTTGTTTATTTTGAGATTCACACCTGTCTGTTCCTCATCTTGAAACAGTAGGATTGTTACTGGTTCAAATTATGTCATTCAGTCTTAAAGTCAGCTAGATATCTACAGATTTTATGAACTTACAAACTCTGCAAATGCAGTTTCCTCTCTTGTGATATTAATGACATATGAAGTAGCTAACTTTTTGTCTTGGCAGGAAAAGAATTCTAAAGCAGATCAACCTGCATCTACACAGAGTCTAAAAACAAGAGATGGTGAAAAAAGCCCTGTAATGGAGACACCACCAACCCTTCAAAAGAAACATTCGGGAAATTCAATTGCACTATTTCAACCATCATCACCAAAGAAAACAGATGCTATCATTGGTCCTGGGACTGGTATCTTGAGACGGCGGCGGAGTTCTGAAAGTTTGCCCGATGATTCCTTTACAGGGACAAGAGTGGTAACTTTTAGTTCCAAGGGAGAGCAAGTTGTTCACTGTGGA